TTCAAAACTACTTCAATGAGGAAAAAAATGAAAATTTGGAATATCTATACATGAGGGGCTAATTGATCGGATCTATTCCTCTGGTTTTATTTCGACACCTCTGCGGGCAGCGACATCTGGAGATGCTCGCGCCTCTGGCCATGCGCGAGGGGGATTTGAATTTTTTAATGGAGCATCAATGTTGCATGAGCCACTAATTGTTGTATTATTCCTCGTAATTTCGTTAAAGTCATCGTTAATTCATGGAGAATAGTTTCTCCGGCAGTTGAAGGACTAATCAATCGTGGGAGAGGGTTTACTCGCGTCGTTCTCAATATTGAACGAGTTTTCCCTCATTTAAATAATTTATTTCTCCACCGATCGATAGGGTTTACACGGCGTTGGGCATGTGACAGGGGAAAAAACAATGATCCCTATCTTTTCCATTTGTACACGCGATAATGCGGACGTAAAGCAGTCATAAATCGATGATAACTAGGGTCACTTTGTCTTATCTCCCTGGATCCGTACACATCCGCGTGGAAAAATAATTATTCAACCGCTTGAGTTTTCAATTCTTTCACCGCTACCTGCGGCCATCGGGGAGGACCGTCACCTGGCGCCAAGGTGACTTGCAGATGCAAAAGTGTCTCGATCCTACTGCTGCAACCTTACACCTGCCACCTGTCGGTATTTTCTACTTGAAAAATTCATAATCGCGGAGCAGAGGGAAATGAGTTCTCGACGGGAGCTCTGGAGAATTGTTTTATTCACTCGGAGGGAAATTCTTTATGAAAAGTCGAGGGCGAATGCTGGAGGTCAAATTTCTGGCGCTTTCTGGTCAAATTGATGGGAATTTCGGTGAAAAATTCATTTGGGGACGAGAAATTGACAGGCTATCCAGTAAAATTTAGGGTGACAGCGCTGGATTTTTCTTTACCCGGAACTTTGCGCAATTTTTCTCGGGCTAGCGCTAGATTTTTTTAGAGAATTTTTGTACGTTTAGGTTGAGTTGAATTGGCTGATGGAGAGTTTTTTGTTTTTTGGGGGCTCTGGGGAAGTTTGTAAATTGTTAAGATGAAATTCAAATTAATGCGATGAAATTAATTTGGAGAATTAGAATAAAACTAAACACTAATTTAATTCTTCAATGAATTCATCGTTTTTAGAAAATGATTGTTGTTCAATAGTTTCATTAAAAATGAAAATAAAAGATGCAGCTTTCATCGGATCGCTCATGCGATCTCCAATGAAAATGGGAATCATCGGTCGGTGTCAATCCACCTGTCAATTTTCTGCATTCATATTTCGGCCTCTCATGCATTCTTGCGGATTATTCGTTTCAACATCAGGGGAAATTAATTTTTTCTCTTCCACAAATACTCTCGAGACGAATGCTTCAATAGGGATATGAAAATTGAATGAAAAATGTTACTCACGTTTTTTTTTAAATAATGGAAAATGAATTTTAATCCAATTATTCTATAAAATGAACGAGATTCGGACGTTTTCTTAAAAATAAAAAACAACGAAAAGAATTTTTTTCCCCAATATTCATTTATTATTATTTCAAGTTTTATCTTTATTTTTATAAAAATTAAACTTAAAATAATAATAAAAAATAATTGTTTTTTTTTGGTTTGATTTTATTTTCATTTTTTTTACCACAAAGAAAAAAAAACTGGAAATAAAACCTTCAATTTTTCACCCCGAATTCCCCATTTTTTCAATTAAAACTCATGTAAAACCGAGACATATTAAGCAATAAATACTTCCCTGCTATAAATATTCTCCAGGATATAATCCCTTAACAGCAATTTTCACGATTTTTTTTGAAAATTGATAACGAATAGTCATAATGTAAGCGTTTCCTCAATTACAAAAAAAAGAAAAAAAAAATATATTACCCCCCAATATTCCCACCCCAAAAAACCTGAAAATAAACCCTTCAACTCTCCACCCCCAATTCCCCATTTTTGCTTAAAACTCAAGCAAACCCGCGCCATATCTATCAAACAATAAATACGTCTCCACTAATAAATATTCTCCAGGATACAATTCCTCAACCTCAATTGTCATTAATTTCATTGAGAATGGATGCCCAAAAAAATGACAATGCAATCCCCATAACAAAAAAACTGATCCCCGAATATTCCCACCACAAAAAACTGAAAACAGAGCCTTCACTTCTCCCCCGCAGCCCCCATTTTCCCTAAAACTCAAACAAACCCGAGACGCACCAAACAATTCCCATTCCCCACAGTCACACCGGCAACATCGAGTTTCACCTGACCCCACCCAGTGTCCCAGTGTGCGTTACTCACCCACCGCCACCGCCACCGCCACCCACTCACCGCTCCCCCCCCCCCCCC